CAGCAGGAGATGTTATTTTTCTGGACAGCAGCCCAGAGAAACAGGACAAAGCCAGAGCAGCAGCAGATGTTGTGATGCATGCTCCTCTGCCCCTGGTTTGGCTAATGAGGCAGCAGAACCCACAGAGCATGAGAGCACGAACGCCAAACCAGAGACTGTGGCCTATGCCTTCATCTTTTTCATTATGTTTAAGACTAGGCTTTGCTGCAGACTAAGACACGTGAAAAGACCTTTAAAAATACAGATCGATGCCTCCTATTGTTCAGAGAGAGGGAAAAAGAAAGATATTCTCTCCTCTAGCTGCAAGGAGCATCTCTCAGTTGCATAAAGCCCATGCCCAAATTGACTTACCACGATCATTTGTGCTACGTAGCTTTCCGGGCCAGTGTATTCAGTGGGATCCTTAACTTTGACAAGAACTATGAAGTACAAATAATGCCACATGTTGTGTTCTGACTTTATATGCTCCTCAAATGAAACGGTCTTGTTATCAAATTTGTCTCTCTCCAGTCCTGCAAAAAGACACGAACATAATGCCAAAAAACCCTACCAAAAACTTCAATAAAAAATAACCAGATCTATTAAATATGTTAGATAAAGGAACCTAACTGAATTTAAAGGATCATAAATTTGAAAGGTCTTGATTTAAAAGCTATAACCACATACAGTAACTGCCAGGCAAGAAATACCAGGCCAGACAGCATTCCTGACAGAATTCTTTCAGCGCAGAGTTTATTCTCTTTTGTGATATTTCCTCTTAATAACAACAACAATATAATAAATTTGTTACAGTTTTACAGCGCCTTCTACGCTGAGGGCTATAAAGTGCTTTACAAGTGTTGGCTCTGATTCTTTCTAAATGTATACTGGTAAGCACACAGCGTGTAATCTAGGTCCTGATCTTGCAAAGATTTATGCACACGTTTAGCATCAAAGATGAGAACAGTCCCACTTAAGCTGCGGTGGGATTTGTGTGTGTAAACCTAGCAAGGGTGAGTCTCTGCGGCTTTGTAGTCACACAGTCTTTACAGAGCTGTGATCGTAAGAATATCTGGGTTTTTTTTCTTCCTGCAACAGGTCAAATCTCTGAAGAATATCACAGTGAGGAAGGACAGATTTCACAAATGTGAATCAGTGTTATAGCCTTCCTCCCTGGATCTCTTGCGGACCCTTCCACAGACACTAAAGCCATTGTGCTCTGCACAACGTTCATCCCTGTCAGTACAACCATGGAAACAACACCCAGCCTACAAAAAAGAAGATATTTCTAACATCCCCATGGGGAGCGAAGGTCTCCCACTCTCTGTGAGTGCACCTCAAAACAAGCATGAGTTATCTGTGGGTTTTGTGGGGACGATTTGAATTTAATTCCTTTGTTACCCTCCTGGAATGCACTGTGCTGTGAAATAGCAAGCTGTATTTTCATCTGCATCATGCTTTGTGAAATAGTCAGCAGCTGCACCATCTCCATTAGTGGTGATGATGTGAGCACGAGACACATCTCTTCTCTCTCAGATCCTGGGTGGAGACTGAAGCCACCTTGTAGCAAAGCTAGCTTTTGACTCCTAAACCAAATCTTTTTCCTACTGATAGGAAATAAATTTGGAACCAAATCTGACATTTTTACAGACTTCCCTTGTAGAAGATAACCACACCATAGGCTCATGTGTTATTTATCGAGGAATAGTCCATTTTACTCCTTCACCCATCAAATGTATCAATAGCTCAGTAACACCTACCACAGATGAAACAGGTTGTCTTCAGTATTTCCTCCTTTTTTTGCTTTTCACTCCTGAGATCAGCAAAAGTGTCAATGATGACTCCAAAGATTAGGTTTAGAACAATAATTATGACAATGAAGTAAAACAGAAGATCATAAACAACTCGCGCAGCAAACAAGGGTTCCTGAAACAATAAGGATGCAGTAAGATCTAAAAATAGCACACCTCTGAAATATTAAAGATTTTTACATTTGCTCAAGCAAAGCCCCACATTTCTTTTCATATGCCAAATTCTGCTAGCCTTACTCACCTAAGTAGAGAGGGACTACCTATGTGACTAAGCAAAGAAGATTTGGCTCCATGTGCTCTTACTGCTTTGGGACTCCTGTTGCTTCACACAGCTCAAGGAAGAGACTGGCGTGTGCACAAGATGCCGTGTAGATGCATCGAGTGAAGATAATTACCTTGCCCCTACAGAAACAGGGAGATGTAGTTTCTAGCACTCACTGAGAGCTATGATAGCTCTTCTTAACGCTGCCTTCTGGCATACAGGGACGTGCTTACAATGGGCCTTTGTGGAATACTCCGGGCCGGCGCCAAGTCTGCGCACCAAACAACTGGAAAGCAGGGGAGCGCGCGTGCGTGATGCTGAGGCCGAGCAACCCTACTGTGACCCCAAGCAGGGCATGTCAATGGTTGCAGCACTGTGCTACTGCAGTCACAGGGCTGTGTAAGCTGGCTCGGAGGGCACAGGTCAAGCCTGTGTCCTTCAGGAACACAACATGCACATGCACACACGTAGATACGCATGCACACACACGTGAAGTGTTCATATTCCCCATTTCACCACGCTCTTTTTTTTACACCCTAACTGCTTTCCTTCTTGCAAAGACTGTACTGGGCTCCCATTGGCACTTCTAAAAATAGTATAGCTGTTCTGTGGCAAACAGGACACAACACTCAGTGTAAGGAGGAGGAACATAAAACCCAAGTCCTTTTCTTCACCATGATACTGAATTTACTGATTTTCTCAGTTTTCCACACATTCCTTGGGATAATAGTGCTACCCTCTGTGAAGTGCTTTAATATAGTTAGGACTAAATAACTGCTAAGTGGCAAGGGTTATTTCCAAGGTCTGTAATTGTTTACCAGCTTCATGGGGATGAAGTTCCTGAAGAACCTCCCAGTCTACGAAATAGGACTTAGATTCCTACTATCAACACAAGGAATAATTCCATCCAGATTTGAGTTTTTTGTCTCTGGACTCCTGCAAGCCCAGCTGAGATGAATTTATGAATTTAATTCTTGCGTTATGGTGTGGGTCATCAAGCAAAGTGCTGCTAGATTGCCTTTATTTATTATGTTCTTTTTGACCTTAAATAAAATTGTGTAAAACCACCCAAATATTATGAGTAGTCCTTAGATTAATTGAATTTTGGAGGAAACATCTGGAAGATGACATATACCATGACAGATGAAAATCTGTTTTGACTTCGATGCCAGCTGAGTACGAGTAAACAATAGGACCTACTCTAGGGCAGACACCATGTTGAATTTCAGCTGAAAATACACCTTATGTATTACAGTGGAGTGTCCTGATATATACTTACCAACCAATCCCTTTCAAAAGTTTTCATTTATAATTCCTAGTGTAACATAATCCAACCCAGCAACTTTTCTTAGCAGTGCTTGGAAGGTTAAATACACTCCTGTTTTCCAGAACCGGTAAACTACTACCTAGAGTTCCTTTCTTCCAGTATCATCATCATCACAGCAAGCTCAGCTCTTTCCATTAAATATTCCATCTGGGATGTAAAAATTACATGGATAAATCAACTGTGTGACATTAGAGCAGACTACATACAAATACTGTCTATAGCCTCTAAAAACTGACTCTGGCATTCATGAGATGCACAGGGAATAATGCATTTCCTCAGCCAAAACACTTACATCTTTGGAAGGCTTTCTGAGCACGTCTCCCACACCACCACCATTTCGCAGGCCTTGGTTTAACACAGTCACAATGCACATGAGCAGGGTGTCACAGGTCCTTTCTATTCCATCCTCCTCCTCTTCACCTGCAAACAGGAGAGCGGCAGCTTTAGGAACCACTGCGTGAAACAATCACTCATCAAACAAAGCCACAATTCTCTGTTAGAGAAAGCAACTGCAGCACACATCTGCCTTTCATATTCTTCAGCTGGAATTTCATGATCATCCCTATCCATTTGCACATCGCTGCTGGTGACATACTTAGGCACATCAGGCATACTTAGCCTGAAGAGAGACAGAGAAAATGCCAAGCATTTCTCTCACCAGTAGCTCTCTTAATGACTCAGAGCTGCCATCTCTATTCAGGGGAGTACCCCTTTTCCTTGCAAGTACTCCCACTGGTTTCAGTATGACTGCCTTCTCAGTGGGCTTCCTAAGTGCACAGCTGACACATACAGGAGAAAAAATACAAACACAGAACTAAAAGCACATTTGTAAAAGGATTGTCTTCCTGTGAAATCATTCCTCTACCTACTTGTGTACAAGCCAAGTCATCTTAGCATTTCAAACCATTAAGGAGGGGCTGGCTCTTATACCAGTAAATCTGTCTGTGATCTTTCCACTAGCACACGTGCCCAGGCGCAGGTCTGATATGCATTAAGCGAAAGACTCTCCCTGACCTCAGCTTGAAAACTTGGATTCTATTCTTATCTCTGCTGTAGAGCTGCTACGTGGTTCTGGCTGAGCCACAGAGGGTACTATTGTGCAGGTGATATTTGAACGTGCAGAGGAGCTGGGCTGGAACACCAGTCCCTGGGGGGAACTTGTCCTTCCCGGCCAGAATTCCTCCCACCACGCACTCGCCCCCACGCTGCGGCTGCATCAACAGCCTCCTTTTGAAGATCCCTGCTTGAGTTGTTCCCTGTGTCCTGTTGGTTTGCACTGAAGGGTCAGGACTGTGACTGCTGCTTCTCCTGCTTTCCTTTCTCTTTAGGGATACGCTTGCTTAAGCAATGAAGGCAGCGATTCTCACTCGGTTTGCTTCATGCATTTATTGTAACACAGCTTAATAAATAACAACATCCTGCTGTGATAGTTAACTGAAATAGCATACTTAACAGCCCCAAACCACCACATCTGGGGCACTGAGACAGACTTTGATAAATTGAATTGACTGAAAGGGCTCACATTACAGACATGCAATTTGGATTTAAAACATGGGTTCCCAAATTGTGAGTATGGATTTGAAGAATGGAGCTGATATCTGATGCCTTTGCCACCACTGCTTTTTGCTACGCAAGGAAATTAAATGAGAAAGAACTCCTGATTTAAGGAACTCTGAGTAAAAAGAAAAGCAAAAGCAGACATCATGATAGATCTCCCTTTTAAACTATAGGGTCACTGCAGACACTACTACCACTAATAAGTCCATATATATATTTTTTTAAGTTTAAATATTGAAACTGAAAATTGAAATTAAACAATAAAACCTTTTTTTCTCTGTCACATCTGGGAATTTTTTACTAGCACCATGTTCTTAGTCATAACAATTCACCTCTTCTCCTTTTGTACCCTCTCTTGGTCTCCTCATCCAAACATTACTCCATCCATTTTTTTGAAGCTAATACCTGTGCTTGAGAAGATGACCATCCACAAGATAAATTCAAAACCATCATACAAGCCACAGATTGTGTTTCTTTTAGGTAGCTACTGAACAAGATTGTCACTGTTCACAAGACCAGAATCTGGTGCTGGAAACAGCAGATGGTCAGATTCCAGTGAACAGCAAGGACAACCTGGGCTGCAAACAGGAAGCTGCAACACCAGAGAAAGCTACCTGCTGGAAAACCTAACTCACAACTCTCCATATCCACCAAGACACAAATTCAGAGCAAACTCAGATGCAAGGTATCACTCATCAGCTGACAGGCATATCTTAAAACACAGAAAAGCAGCATCCCATGTTGCACTCAGAAGAACAAGCTCAGGTTGCTCTTTGCCAGGCAAGCAAGTTGAAGTTGGCAGAAATCTTCAGTGCAGTAATGTAGGCTGTGGGCAGTGTACAGACATCTGTATGTCTACTCTACTTCCACTCCCAGATGTGGAACAGTAAGAGCTACCTTCAACCTGGGATCTGGATAACCCTACGGGCACATGCTCTGCCCCAGCTGGTTTGCCCCGGTGCTCAAGTCGTGCTCATAGCCCAGACTCAGCTCCTGTTGACACTGACTATGCCCATACTATCAAAAGGAGGGGCTCTGTAGAGTGAAATGTTGCTAAGGACCCAATGTCAATACTAGTTGGGGTTCAGGGAGCTTTATTTGCAACCAACTCCAGCCTGGTGTGTGGCCCATTAGTGGTTAGACAGCATTAGGTAGGCTGTCTTCTGGTTAACTCAAAACCAATGCAGGTTAAATGCACAATGTTAATCATAGGGTAGTAAGTGGGACGAAAGGAAGATTTACTTCAAAAATCTTCATCTGATGACCCCCAGCTACCTGGGTTCTGTGTCTGAACCACATGCACAGAAGGGGAGACACACAAGTGTCCGCGTGGATCAAGCTGAACTTGCAGAGTGGTACCAGACCTGGGAGTGGAATGAGTCTTTGAAAGTCCTCTTTTACAAACAGGTATCTGTGCACCTTTCTAGCACAGCTCTCTATGGGCTACAGAGCACAAAGAGCCATGTACTGTAGGATGTGAATTTCCTTCACGTGATAAAGCTCTTCACCAGGCAAAGAGTTAAGAGATACGGAAACACCTTCGGAGTGAAGAGTGGGAGACTCTGAGGGAGATGAGACGCAATATCTTTATGCTGACAGCTCAGTGCAGCAGTGAGGAAGCAGGCTCTAGACTGTGAATGCTCTCTAAGCAGAGCAGCCTGGCTTCCAAGTTAATGATCTCACCAGCCTGAACAATGACTGAGTACATGTTCAACCAGTGAAATTCAAGGTAGAAGCACAGTCTCACCAGACCAAATTATTAGTGGTGACATGATCCAAAAAAGCAATGTATTTATGTCTCCACTCTGGACAGAAGATGCCTTTGAGAACATTTTATGTTTTCTACAGGCATCTGTGGACTTCTTGATGCTGCTACAATGTGAATCTCACCCAATCTCAGGTTGAACTGCCTTTGCATTCCACCATGCTCATGCTTTCACCGTAAGAGAGATCTGTCCCAGAAGAAGCCTGAAGGCACAGCACTACATTTTGACAGCTGATTCACCAGATAGGATGAGCAAAACTGTTTGTGCTGAATGTTGGTTTTTTAATGTTACTGGATTAATAAAACTCCCCCAAGATTAAGTGACAGTGCAATGTGATGTTTTGTATGGCCCCCTTTCATTATTGTTTAGTTTTAAAGGAACAGTATCCGAACAATAAGAAATGTGAGATTTGTATTATTTAAAGAGCTTGGCAAAAGCCACACTGCATCTGTTCTGACTGATTGATTACTCTTTGAATGCCACAGCTTTGCCAATAGTTCTTAGACTGTTTTCTCTATCAAGTGAGACAGCTTCCCATGTAGTTTATGAGGCCTGTTTACACACCAGCTGGGACAAAAAAGCCTACTTTTATATAGCCCTCTCCCTCCCACCTTTGATCTTTAAAACTAAAAAATAAGTAGTGGAAGAATAAAGCATGTGTAACTGTGTTGTACTGGAACACTGAATAGGAAGGGACCACTTCTGTCCTCAGTTTCAGGCCCCAGCAGGCACAGGCAACTGTGGCACTAAGTATTTTAAGTCCATAGACCATCCGCTGTGCACACAGGTACACTGCAGACACCACAACATACAGACACAAACAACAATTATAAGACCAACCACCACAACTGGATTATGCTACAGGAAGAGTGTAGGACAGATGGAGTAGCACCACCATCAAAGGTCCCTGTCTAGCAGTGCATCTGGCCAACAAAATTCTAAGTGACCCTGTAGCCTCAAACTAAAGAAGAGGGCAAAGCACTCCCTCAGCTTGAGCTAGGATAAATTCCTTCCTGGCCTAGAATCTGGTAACTGTTCCAGCAGGACACACTGGTCAGATAGTTTATTTTATATTTAAAGTTGATGGGGTCCTTCTGACATATCAGGTTCATGATCAGGTTCATAACACTGGTATCAAAGTAAAACCAGGAGGACTCATCTGCTGA